AGTTGTACTATTCAAGAGGTGACATGTTCCTGAAGAACTTTGACGAGGTGTTCCTTTGCACTTTTTCCCTTATCCTCCAAAACAATATTAAGTATTTAACAGCTATGACAAGTCCAATGGAAAAATGCACAGACTTGCCTTGTAGATGTTTTTCTCTTATTCATTCTCCAATATCCCTTTTATTTTCCTATAGCCACTTCAAATAAAACTTACAAAACTGAGGTTTGGTGTATTAGAAGATGAATGTGTTCAAACATTGTGAAGGGTGAAAGTATTTAAAGGAACCCGTAGAGAATAACTACTGCATTGTGGACAGAAAATACACAAAAGCTGTTTCCCTATCCCTCTCAAAACACACTCCTTCAATCGAGACTGGATGCTGAGTACATAAGTAATGGCACTGATTAACATTTTATCCAGATTAATGTAACATGGGAAATAACCATTGCAATTTTTAGACAAGTGCCTTATATGCCTGCTTGGTGAACTAAAAGCAAGTCTAGAAACTCCTCTTTTAACTGTTGCTGAACAACTGTGAAATGAAAAATGAAAAATATTTGTTAAGATATTCTCTAACCTTTTTTTGGGTAAATAGCAAGTTTCAGAAAATTAATCCACAACATCATCTTGACATATTTTTGTAGATTGTAGTGTGAAAACAGAATTGGAAACTATACAATCAAGATTAGATCTTCCATTGATAAAACTCCAAATTAATGGATTGATCTAATCCACTCACAAGAATATATTATGCTTTCTGCCATCCAGTGACAAGAGATATGGGTGCAGTATTAAAAAGGCTAGGAGAGTTTTCATGAGAGCATGAACTGCATTCATTGTGCACCTAGATTTGATGGGTACATTTTTGCTTTCAGAAGATAAATTTGAAGCATGCTACATTAGTTATATCTAACAAACACCTCAGCTTCTGTTGTCCTTTTTCCCCTAGTAGTTGAATCCACACATTATCGTGACATGTTAAAATTCCAGAAGAGTGATGTTAACTGTAACAGCAAAAAGAAAAACAAACTATAATACCATAAAGGCTAACTGTCATAATATGGCATGAGCTTTCAGAGGCAAGAGGTATAAAACACGAAATAAAATAAGAATGTGATGAGTATATATGCACCATCTTTGAATAACAGGCAAAGATAGCTAGAAAACTACATTTTTATTTTTATCTTACAAAGGCAGAAGCTGTGAAGAAAGCAAGGTCTTTTAATTAATTTTCTCTCGGAAATTAAAGCAATAAATATAGGAGTAAATGGAGATGCTACTGTAAACATCAGACCCTAGAGATTATCAAACTTCATCAGCAAATGATGATAACTCTTCAGCGGTGATTGTTAATATTCACTGGTAGTTGTCAACATATACTGGAAGAATGTTAAAAACTATATCCACAGCTTCAGATTTCTGACATTCACAATAATCGACATTGCTAAGTATTAAATCAGACTAGTTGAAACATTCTAAGTAATGAATATTTAGAACACACATGCCCAAGTGGGAATCAGTCTTTGTTTTTTTCCCCTATTGAAACCATGATATTGAGACAGTGTAACTGACATTACATTGGCCTTGGGGATTCTGCATACTCATAGTAAACTAAGGCAACAATAAAACATAAGCAGTAGGCAAGTCATGAAAGGGAATTTCATGTGCAGGGTATTCATAATATGTGTAAATCTGGCAGTGTTCCAGATATGATGTTTAGACAGGAAGAGTGGTATTGGGAATAAGTAATTATTAAGATGTAGAAAAGGAAATAAATGTAGAAAAGGAAATAGATCTTAGAATCAAAGACCTGAAACAAATACTTCTTTATGTACCTTAGAGAAAATTTCAACTTTATGGTTATGAGAGCAACAGAAAAGTGGGAAACAATGAAATGATCCATATGTATTGTTCATAGTTATTACCAGTGCCATCAACCAGGCTAGTGATACTAATTAGGATGCCGCTGAAAGGAAGACAGAGTTTCACAACGACTTTCACACCCTTGAAAAGCACATGCCTTTGATTGCTTGAAACGGGACAAAAATACTCACCTGGGACTGGGTGGGATAATAATTAGGCAATGCTTCCTGTCTTGCTATGTTTCATCGCTGTGAAACTGCCACAGCACAGCATGGCAAAACAGAGAACCATCCGCCCTGTCAAATCAACAAGGCTGTTACTTCAGAAGCAGTTCAGTGAGGCAATGCAGGAAGAATCTTCAGGTAACTACTAGTAATCTGGAGAGTAAAGACACTGTCTTAACACTTCCAGGAAACCATTTGTTTTAAGATGAAGTGAGTTGCTCTGGGAAGGTAAGCGAAGTATGGAGAATGATGTGGGAATTATGCTATAGTAAGAAGTGACTGAGAGTTGTGCCATGGTGGTGACCTGCATTATGTTTAGCGACCCGAACTATTTATTCTTGCTAAAACTGCTTTGCGTCTTTGAAGTGGATTCAGTAATTACGGTATTACCTAAACCAAAAACAAATTCTGAACAAATTAAATGCTTATGTGAACGAACATGCCTGTTACTGTGTTTAAAAATACAAAACTTAGATGTTCTTTGTAAAAGGTGAACTTCACTACTGGTTTAGTGTGGATTGTTTCTTATCTCTCATGAATTATTAAATGATATGTTTTCTTTGTCCCCAGCAATGCATCTATTTGGCCTCAACTGGCAGTTACAGCAGACTGAAAATGACACATTTGAAAATGGAAAAGTGAATTCTGATACTGTGCCAACACACACTGTGTCATTGCCTTCTGGTGAAAATGGTAAGAGAGAATCTTACTTCTGTTTAGCTTGCCTTTTAAATATATCAATATTATTAAGGTTCTCTCTCATTTCACAATTGTTCCGTCCTTTATTGAAATTTCAGTGTCAATTTTAAAAGGAAGAAAACAGAGAACTGCCAAGTCGCATGTGATGCAGCGCTTTGCATCTTTAATAGCTGTGAAGAATTTAAAATTTGGTAACCTTGCATAGGCCAGTCGTCTACTGTGTACACATACTTACTATGGGGTCCAGAATGTAAAAACCGCTTGTTATCCTACATGGAATATGGTTCCATTTGGTGACGCTACACTATGCGATCTCTTCACTGCCACCAAGCCAGTGTTAATATGGGCTCTTAACAGATTCAGATTCATCCCATGTCTTTCTCCACCATCACTCTGCCTATCAAAGCACTTCATTGCTCTTTGTCTTTCAAAAACAGTAAGAGAGAATACCTCATAGTGATTGTGTCAACTGCCTGAGTCACCTCCCCATTCCACAGATCAAGGAATCCACAGCATTCAGGAATCCTTCTAGATCCAGAAGTCTCCAAGCAGGGAGCATATTAATTGAGTTCCTACCCTGTAGAGATCATTAGTTCCAGCAAACCTAAACTACATCAGGCAGTGATCTGCCCATTGAAATTGAAATTTTTTTTTGTAGGGGGAGAACCCTACCCATTAGCAGCCTTGCCTTCATTAGCAGCAACTACAACTGATGTTACCTCAAAGAGGTCTCCCCCACTGGCAGTGATCTGCTGTCTGTGGCAAGGCCAAGGGATATTTCCCACTCGAAATCACCTCACAGGCCAACACATGTGTTATATAGTCTGGCTGTGGCAGGTGTTATCATCTACTTTCCTTACAGATGGTCTTGTGACTACTCCCAGATCTGCAGTTCCCTCTAGGGCCTAGGCCATTTACTACTACTGCTGGCTCATCTGGAGCTACAGCAGCCACAAGAGATATCTTCCCATCCCATGATATTTCATTGTGGGACAACACCCATAAAATGGATGCAATAGTCACTTTGGGACGAGGCTTTGATGTTCATCAGTGGAGGTGGAATTAACTTTACAGTGAAACATGATTGCTTTATTGATTATGGGTGAAAAATGGCTTTGGCATGGGCATTGGGTATGTATCCTGAATCAGCCAACCTGATTGCTGGCTGATAATTCCCAACAGGGTCAATTCTGGGAGCAAACCCAGTCCCTGAAAAAAACTCTTGAGCATCTGCGGACTGTAAATTATTACATAGGTGACAAAGAAACTAGAATGGCTAAATTGTTGTATGTGTTAGTTGTGTGTTTGCCTTTCTTTGAAAGTGCTTAAGGCTTTCCTTGTGTTATATTGAAGATGTATGATTCCCTCCTATTGAAATCTACCAGATCATGTGCAATGTGTTTATCTTTTTTGAAAGTTGTATTAGGATTTCATATTGCATCTGCCTCTGCCAGGTAATATATAAAAGTCAAACACTATATTAATTTCGTTGTAGGAGCTTTTAAAACACAAATCACATAAAGGGATTATATTTTATTGACTTTCCCTGATGTTGCCCTTTAAGTTTCTCTAAAACTTCAAAGAGTCCATGCCCTTTTGGCTAACAGATCAATAGTTTTTAAATGGAAAACCTTATTTAAATGGTTGATGAATACTGTATTTACTGCACTATTTTCTTTAAATCTGTTTTCCCATTCACAGTGTACAGGTGACCTCTGTCACTGTGGAGGAAGATAGAAGAAGCCTTTTCTGTTCACTTTTCTGCCCATCACAGTTCCAAATTATAGAAATGATATGACTCAATTTCCCATTTCTGCCATTTTTTAGACATCATGCCTAAGAAGAATGCTCCTTTATCCCTCCTCTCATTCCTTTTTGCCTCAAATCTGTGCATTGTACTTTGGTATCCATTATCTCTATCCTTATGTGGGCGGCTTCCTACTTAAAGTAAAGAACAAGGGGAGAATCTATTGTGCATTTAATGAATATATATACATTATAGCAGCAGCTGCGGCTGCGACATTCTTCAGCTATGACTAATGAATGCAAACTTCTATATAAAACTTCATTTTCACTATCATTATTGACAATTTCATGGAATTTGTGACAAATAGAGTGAGAAAGAGATGTGTTCTTGAAACTGCTAATGTATTGGTATTAAAAAAAGATAAAGAATCAGATCATTATAATTGATGATTTCTAGTACATTCTGTTCAGATAACTAGTTTTTGCTACAAGATAGTTAACATTTCATGACATTCAATACTGGAACACTGCTACAAGTTACAGCGAAAGGAAAAGGAAGTATAATGATGTTATATTTTGGGATTTTTGCCATTTAAATTGTTGTGGACCTTTGAGCAACAGACAGTTGGTGGAGGGAAAGATGCTCTGCCCCCATCAATGCCATTTGAGAAAAGGCTCATGGCATTATCCCCCTCTCTTCCCCACCATTTAGAAAGTTGTCTCATCCCCCCAATCATTCAATCACCATCACAACTCAATAAGTGATTGTTGGGTTTCATTGTTCTCCAACAAGACCAAACCCAATTAATGGTTCCTTGTCATCCTGGAAAAATGTGATAAGTGGGGTGCCACAGGGTTCTGTCCTGGTCCCATTGTAGTTCCACATCTTTATAAACGACTTGGATGAAGTAATTGAGGGGATGCTAATCAAATTTGCAGATGATATGAAACTGGGAAAGGTAGCTAATGCCGCAGAAGACAGAATCAAAATTCGAAATGACCTTAGCATTTGGAGAACTGGGCGCAAACTAACAAGAATTTCAATAGGGACAAATGTAAGTTTCTGCACTTAGGCATGAAGAATCAGATGCACAAATATAGGATGGGGGACATCTGGCTTACTAGCAGAACATTTGAAAAGGATCTAGGGGTCTTGGTGGACCATAAGGGGAAAAAAAGAAGAAAAAAAGCTAACACTATTCTAGGCTGCATCAACAGATAAAGGGAAATAATAGTCCCACTCTGTTCTGCCTTGGTCAGACCACACCTGGAATCCTGTGTCCAGTTCTGGGTGCCACCATTTAAGAAGGATGTTGACAAGCTGGAGCGTGTACAGAGGAGGGCAACAGAGATGATCAAGGGTCTAGAAGCCAAGCCTTATGAGAATGGTTGAAGGAGCTAGGTATGTTTAGCCTGGAAAAGAGGAGACTGAGAGGAAATATGATAGGCATCTTTAAATACTAAAGGGCTGTCACAGAGAAGATGGAGCAAGCTTGTTTTCTCCTGCTCTGGAAGGTAGGACTCAAACCAATGGCTTCAAGTTATAATAAAGGAGATTCTGACTAAACATATGGAAAAACTTTCTGACAGTAAGAGCTATTTGACAGTGGAAGAGTCTCCCTCGGGAGGTGGTGGACTCTCCTTCCCTGGAGGTCTTTAAGCAAAGGTTGGATGGCCACCTAGCATGGATGCTTTAGCTGAGATTCCTGCATTGCAGGGGATTGGACTAAAAGACCATTGGGTCCTTCAGATTCTCTTATTCTAAGACCAGCAGCAAAATTGGCCCATGGGCCAGTCGTGCAGTCACCCGACACCAGTGATGCCAGCCAGAGCATTGTCCATCCCAGTCCATCCCTGCTGCTGCTGCCTAATGCTTTGCTCTGTGCTCCAGCTCCAATACAAGTAATAGTATTCAGGAGCTGGAGTCAGGCATAAGTCAGCAATAGAGCACCTGATGTCAGTGAAGTTAACTCTTTATTCAAAGAAAAAAATAGCTCAGTCTTAGTGATCACAGCAACCCTTCCTAGTAGGTCTTGCCCCAATGAGGCAGTTGTGAGGACTGAAGGTCCCCGCCTTCCCACTGCTTTCTTCCCCAGCAGCCTAAGGCTCCATCGTCTTTTCTTTCATTGCTCCTCCCTCTTCATTTCTCCGCATGTTCTGGGGTTTCCCCAGCTGGTGCCTTCCACCACTCCTCTGCATCCAACCGGTCCATGACAAGTATACGCCGTGGCCCACTCAATAAAAGGCATGCAGGTTACTGAGTGGGGAAAGGCAGTGGGAGCTTGCCAGATATGGCCATCCCATACCCTACAGAAATAGCTGTTACTGCTGTCAGTCATACTCATATGTCTTGAGGTAGGAGACAGTTCTGCCACATCTGTGGTGGAAAGTATGGTTACATAATGGGAGGCACATGGCTGTGATGTGATGACTAGAAAGTTGTTGGGAATAAGGCTGAAAGGGCTCAGCTGATAGCTGGACATACACATATTGACCATGGTGGGATCTAATATATCCAAGTCAACTGTTGCCCAACTGCTAGTGGGTGAATAATAGAATCCTAGAATGCCTGCTCTACGTTATGTAAGAAGTATGGGGAAATGGCTGACTTCTGCCATCATTATTTTTTTTCTAGCAACTGGGCGATAGAATGGCATGTTTAATGGAAACAGGACTGTTGCCAACAAGGGCAAGCTCATTGTGCATAATGCTTAATTCAGCTTTCCTCATGTTCTGATACAGTTGCAGCATGTATTTCCCCAATTTCAGTGCTCTATGTTGGCTGGCAGGAGTAGGAAAAGACACATTGCAGTGACATTATATATTAGAGTTAAGTTGAATCGGGAGCGTTTGGCATGGGGCTGCCATTTTCAGCAGAGTTTTGTTCTTTGTAACTTGTAGTTCTTCTCTGAATGTTCTGCATTTTATGACGGGAAAACTATACAGTCTTTATTTTGAAACAAAATGAGAAGTGAATTGAATGGAACGATGTTAAGAGCTTGGCACAGGCATACATTATATGTGTAAATAAATGGAAAGTGACTAAGGCCGCAATCCTAACCCCACTTACCTGGAAGTAAGCCCTAATGAATTCAATAGAACTTACTTCTGAGAAGTGTTTAAGATTGAGCTTTTAAGATATGGACACATCTGCAATGTTTACTCTGACGCTACTAAATGTTCAGATATAAAGTGCATTGGAAGTGTGCTACAGGGAAAAGTCTATTTAGGATGCCTTAGGTAGCTTA